TAAAATAATAAATGACTTGTGTTAAATGGATAGTAAGTAGTATACTCGTACACGTAATACATGCTACATAGTATACTATAAAGGAAGTACGATATATCAGTGTATCAGTGTATTCTTAATTATATACGTGTTTTTTTTTTTAAATTGTTATTAAAATTCGTCTAAAAAATTGTGAACACTTAGAAAGTTGTTTTAAAGTAAATAATAATGTTTTGAGATTTGAATTAAATGAAATTAATGTACTCGTAAGTAATATTTTAAACCTAGAAAAATACCCTTTTGTTTATAAAAAAATAATATAAATGCATTTATTCTACAAGCATTTTTCGTTTAGACAATGTGAATTAAAATGTTGATTTAGAACTAACTTCCACATAAGCCCTACTAAAAAATAATAAACGATAAATTACTATGCAAGAACTTTAAATATTTAATGTAATTTTATAACAATATTTCGTGAAGACTAAAATAAAAAAAATAAATTATTTTATTAAAATTATATCACCATGATCTTTATTTTTCTCTTTTTTCATGAAATAAAAAATAAAAATAAAAAATAAATTGTACATCCTTAAAATATACTTAAAATCATAATGATTTTTAACGTAAAGAGTGTCCCGTGTTAAATGAATAGTAAATAGTATATTCATAGACGTAATACATGCTACATAGTATATAATAAAGTAAATATGATATATTAGTGTATTATTATTTATATATTTTTTTTTTTAATTGTTATTAAAATTCATCTAAAAAATGGTGAACACTAAGAAACTTGGTTTTAACTAAATAAAAATGTTATGTAGATTTATATTAAATGGATAGTAAGTAGTATACCCTTATACATAATACACGCTATGTATATTATAAAGTAAGTAGGATATATCATTGTATTATTATAAACGTGTTTTTTTTAAATTCTTATTAAAATCCATCTAAAAAATAGTGATCACTAAGAAACTTGTTTTAAACTAAATAATAATGTTTTGAGATTTAAATTGATTGAAAATAATGTACCCGTAAGTAATATTATTAGTCTATAAACATACTTTTTTATTTATAAAAAATAACATAAATTATTTTATTCTACAAGCATTTTTCTTTTAGACAGTGTGAATTTATTCGTTGGTTTATATGTAATTTCCATATTAGCCCCATCATAATAAAATAAAAAATTTATAAATAATATAGACATTAAGAATAAATTATTGGTGATAACTATAAAATCTATGTTTATACTCTCTCATCAGATATTCAGCCTCTCGGAAATCATCAAAATAAAATATAGAATTTCATATTTTTTATGGTAAGCGAACTAAATTATTACTACGTAACTCTCATGCTAATCGTAATATGTTGTTATCGCGTCCAACACGCAACCTGCTCTCAATCACTATCTTAATTAATCTACCATAACTATCAATATGCCATCACCCATAAATAAAACGGTTCCTCTGCCTGATTATTCCAAAATCACATCGCCTAATATATACAATAAGACAATAGTTATGATGGATGGGTAACTTTGACTCCAACCATACACAATCAAACCTCTTCAAATGGATCATCAAAATCAAACAAACAGTTTATAACTCCAAATCCCTTTGTAGTATTCTCTGACAATCAACATGATCATTCTATTTTCAATCTATTAGTCTCTGTATCCGATGTCTCAATGGATGATACTCACTCAGCTCCAAAATTTCCACCATCAATATTTATTCGTTTAGTTAACGACTTTAAATATTTCTGCTCAACCATTCTTTCAGTCATCAATCTACTCCACGACGTCGATTAAAACGACGCTAGCCTAGTGATCTACTAAAAATTTAACCATGATGAGTAATGTAAATTGAAGTGGTGTCATTGGACGCTCCCTTCTCTCAAGTCCACATGTCTTTTTATTTTCTCCTATAATCCTTCAAAATTTTCTTATTGTACAAACTAAATGTATACAGATTGTTAAAATTAATTTTAAAATAACGAAAAAAAAAAAAAAATAAATAAAATATGAAATCAATCAATAGTTCAGTCTGTCATACAAAAAAGATTTACAATTAATACACTCAACCCCCTTATTTTATTAAAAATTAATATACGGATAGTTGCTGGTTTAATGTTTAAACTGTTTTGTGTAATATTATTTATTTCTCGTAATTTAAAAAATATATATATATTTAAGGAAAAAATTTAAATATCAAAAATATTAGACGTATAATGGTATATATTAAATTTTTCAAACTATCAGATGTATGAAATAAATAATAAACTACAATAGTTGAATTAAGCAACCGTACTAAAGATATATACCATATTCGTTTTATATCAGTCATTATAAATAAGGAAATATAAATATTTTAAAAATATTTCTTTAAAAAAAAAATAATTATTATTTGCTTACTCAAATTATTCATTAAATAAACGTATTCTTCATTTTTCGTTTTCATAAACATAAAAAACACATGAATTAAATATTTAAGGTTTTATTCTGATATCTTAATGATCTTAATTAGTAATAAATATGCATTTAAGTTATGATATTATTATCTAAACACGGTTTATAGTTAGGTTTTAGACATTTGAATATTAACAATTAAAAATTATTTGTATGATTGCATGAAAACATTTGTATTAAAATGATAAAAATATTGATTATTATTAATTTTGTTATCTAATTAAATGAAAGGAATTAAGTTATCAAAAATTAAGCCTTAATCGCAGCAAATAGTTCATATGAAAGTTTTACATTTATAGACATATTGTATAATATTAGTCTAATCAGTAATTAGTATCTACCGATTCCTAAACTAAACTACGATGTTATTCTCAAATAATGTATTAATTTTAATAAACCATGATCTCTGAAATAACAAAAATTAAAGAAATTTTTTTCTTAAACTTGTAGCAATTTATATTTTTAAAACTGCACAAGATTTTTCAACTAGAATAAAATTAAACTACGTATATGACTATATTAATTTCTTTTGATTATTCTGTAACAACGCTCAAATTTTTTTAATATTTAAATAAAATTATCAAAATAATATTAAAAGTAAAACGATCATGTATTTACTTGCATGAGTTTCTGTATAATAAATTAGAATAAACATATTTAAAAACAATAATAAGATAATAATATTTCATAAAATATAAAATTTAGATATACAATGTAAATATTATTATCATGTAAAATTTAGATATTATCAATAAAATTATTCATTGAATACATTTGATGGTGATTTTATTTCAAAAATTTAAATTGTTTAAATTTAAAAATTGTTCTATTATAATGCATTTATATAATATTTTAAATGAATTGCGGTTTTATTAAAACATAATTTACACGCACAATTAAATAAATATTAAATTTCTAACATTTCCCAAAACAAGAATAATTAAGTATTGTCACAGTAAATATATCGATACAGTCAGTTTTAATTAAAATAGTTTTTTGAAAAATATACTAATTTTATTATAACTATATAACATTAGTTGCGCTATGTTTATTTAATGGTACCATTGAAAATTTGAAAATTATGTAAGTATTTACAGATATTATTCCCTAAAAAATAAATGGATTAAAAATTAAAGATGAGCTATGTTGTATGTTAT